AAAACCCTATAAAACCAGCGATATGAAATATATGGGTTTTGTTCATCTGAAGTTGGCAATAATTCCAAGATAAAATTAAAAGTGTCATAGAATAAATAAAACTAAATATCGGTCGCGAATGATTACGTGGAAATTCGAACACGCGTAACCCAAAGATAATACTTAAAATGTAAATCGGTCGTAATACGTCGTATACACTTTTCGATGGAATTTTCTCGATTTTAGATGTTCCATTAACTTTTCCTTTTGTTATAAACATTTCTATTAAATTTATCATTGCAACTTTGCCGTCTCTACGGATTCTCTGCAACCGCAACGCGTATATCGTTTTTCATCGATATGTACAATTGAAACTACAACAGCTTTAGTTTGTTTTGCCTTTCTTCTAGTTTTTTTATGCAATTAAAAACACAAAGGAATTTCGATGAGACGTCTTCGAAGGATGTTATAGTAATGCGTAGGAGTTTCTCGAATGCGACGCTAAAAGACTCGCGTAGTTGATTACTTTTTGCGTTTGATCAATATCTACCATTCTATCGAATAATTTATAACATCGCAAATACAATCGAAAGGACAAATAAACGTATGCACCATAATTTGTTCATATATGATGAATATCTTACTTAATGGCAAAACCATATTAAAATGAAGTGTGTATAAAAGATACCATAGCAAGTATATAAATACATTCCGGACTAACGAAAAATCGTGTAAGCAAAAATACAGAACTATAGTCATTTCAAAAAAAGGTTGAAAGGATGAAATCAAAATTAAAATGTAGAGGATCTGAAATGTTTATAATAGCATGTATTGAAGTACAAAATAAGCTTATTGAATAGTTCTCAATTATTTGTTTCATATAATTCCAAAATAGACAAAATCAGATCATAAGAGTAGGCAATAGCAGTAATAAAAATAATTCAAAAGATTGGGAGATTAAGTACATCAACGGTCAAGCGGCGCTGACAGCACGAGTTCTCGTTTCGATCATCAACGTCGAGCAACGCTGGGCTCGTTTAGTACTTGGATGGGTGACCGCTTTCGGGAACCACCGCCGTGTGCTGTTTTTGACTCCAAGATTTCGCTTAGTTTTATACCTAGTCAGGTCCTAAAACCAGATAAAAGGGCTAGAGGGTGAGGCTAGCAGCAACCTTCCCTCGGGAAAAACAATAAATTGTTCCTAGAAATAGCAATAAAATAACTATTAAAACAGGATGACGTCCTAATAAAAAGGAGAAGAAGGAAAACAAGTACAAAACTATTAATT